ACCTTCTTAACATGAAGAAGCTCGAAATCTCTCAGACTCAGTTGCTCAAGGGTCAGTCCACTTGGAAACAGTGGAAGACCCTTACGACTGCGCAGGAGCACACATTTGAGACTGTCAACATTGCTCTGGTTGGCAAGTATGTCAGTCTCCACGACTCTTACCTGTCCGTCATCAAGTCGCTTGAGCACGCGGCTATGGCTTCCCGCCGAAAGCTCAACATCATTTGGGTCGATGCCTCGCACCTTGAAACCGAGTGGGAGGAGACCAACTCCAAAGAGTATCACAAGGCCTGGTATGATGTCCACACCGCCAATGGAATCTTGGTTCCAGGAGGTTTCGGTACTAGAGGCACCAATGGTATGATGCGCGCTGCCCACCACGCCCGCACCAAGTCCAAGCCTTACCTTGGTATCTGCCTGGGTATGCAGATTGCCGTGATTGAATACGCTCGTAGCGTCTGTGGTCTCGAGGGTGCGAACTCCGTTGAACTTGACGAGCGTGCCACCCACCCGATCGTGGTGTACATGCCTGAGATCGACCAGGTGAACCTCGGCGGTACTATGCGTCTTGGTTCCCGTCCTACCCTCTTCCAGGAGAACTCCGAATGGTCTAAGCTCCGTTCTCTCTACGGATTGGACCGCACTTCTATCGATGAGCGCCACCGCCACCGCTATGAGGTTAACCCCGAGTATATCGATCAGCTCCAGGCTGCCGGTCTTCACTTCATTGGTAAGGATGACCAGGGCGAGCGCATGGAGATTGTTGAGCTGAAGGACCACCCCTGGTTCGTGGGTGTCCAGTTCCACCCCGAGTATATTTCTCGTGTCCTTGCACCTAGCAAACCATTCCTTGGATTCCTCTCCGCCGCAGCCGGTTGTTTCGACCAGGTCAAGGCTCTGTCTCAGGCCAAGGAGACGGATTTGGCTAACGGCGTTAGCAACATTGTTGTCTAAGCATCAATGGTTCCCAATGATGGTTGCATAGGAGTTTGTATTTGTCACGAAAAGCATATGAATATAGAGAATTAAATAAAAATATTTACCGCATAATACTACTCTTCAATTATACATATTTCTTTCTTACTTTCTTCATGCTCCAACACGCTCATTCAGAATATCAAGTTGGATGCCTGAGGCAAGGAGAGGCTCAAGCATGTGACGTACTAACCGTATTAAGCTTAGCGTACTTTCAGTGTTTATGTGGGTTGTTACAATTTATTGAGTGCTCGCATTATTATCTTTGAGCTTTGGATCTTTTATCTTTTTCCTTCTGTGGTTGTCAACACTCCTGCTCCCCTTTGAGCCACTGCATACTTAATTCCCATCTGCTCTCACCCATTTTCCCCCTCTTTCCTTTTACTCATCTATCCCCCTCACTTGCGTTGATACCCCACCTAACAAGATGGCGGAGGGTCTTGGAGCTCTGTTAGAGGCAAGCTTGGACCCCAGGCAAAACAAGGCGGGTGAGTTATAAGAGTTGACCCTTGATACAATCAGTGTTGACTGACGTGGTTCCTTTTTTCTTTCAGCCGAGATTACTCTTCGTCAGGAAGAACAGAAGCCCGGTTTCTCGGTACAGCTTCTTCACATCACCGCATCGGAGACCACACCTTACAACACACGTCTTGCCAGTGCTCTATGCTTCAAGAACTTCATCAAGCGCAACTGGACGGACGAAGATGGAAATTACAAGCTGCAGCAGGATGAAGTTGACACTCTCAAGCGCGAGCTGATCTCCTTGATGATCTCGGTTCCGTCAGGAATCCAGAGCCAGTTGGGTGAGGCCGTTAGTGCGATTGCCGACAGTGACTTCTGGGAGCGTTGGGATACTCTGGTTGATGTAAGTTGTGATTCAACAAAGCGTTGTAATGCTGTTTCTGATGTTTTGTTTTCCCTAGGATCTCGTCTCCAAGCTGTCACCGGGCAACCCCACCGTCAACATTGGTGTGTTGCAAGTCGCGCACTCAATTTTCAAGAGATGGCGACCTTTGTTCCAGTCCGATGCGCTCTACACCGAGATCAACCACGTTCTCGGCAAATTCGGTACTCCATTCCTGGCCCTGTTTGAGGTATCTTCAATTTTCCACCCAGTTTTGCTTCGGTGGGCCGAATGCTAATACAAATTCTAGGCTCTGGACAACTATCTTGAGCAGAACAAGACCAACAAAGAGAACTTGACTCAAGGGTTCAATCAGCTCAACCTGATGGTGAAGCTGTTTTACGACCTTTCCTCCCACGATCTCCCTCCCATGTTTGAAGACAACATCTCCGGAATCACCACAATCTTCCTCAAATACTTGACCTATGATAACCAATTACTCCACACCGACGATGAGACGGAGGCTGGTCCGTTGGAGTATGTTCGGGCTGGAATTTTTGAGGCTTTGACCCTCTACGTGCAGAAGTACATGGATGTTTTCCAGCCTCACGTTGGACAGTTCATTGGAAGCTCGTGGAACTTCCTTACAACCATTGGCCAGGAGACCAAGTATGATATTTTGGTCAGCCGAGCACTGCACTTTTTGACATCTGTCGCAGGCATGCCCGAGCATGCCGCTGCTTTCCAAGCCGAGGAGACCTTGGGCCAGATTGTTGAAAAGGTCATCTTGCCGAATGTGAGCCTTCGTGAGTCCGACGAAGAACTCTTCGAGGATGAGCCAATTGAGTTCATTCGCCGGGACTTGGAAGGGTCTGACAGCGAGACCAGACGCCGAGCTGCCACTGATTTCCTCCGTAAACTCGCAGAGAAATTCGAAGAGCCGGTGACCCAGGTTGTTCTCAAGTATACCCAGCACTACCTGGCTGAGTATGCCAAGGACTCATCCAACTGGAAGGCTAAGGACACAGCGACGTACCTTTACTCCGCTATCGCCGCCAAGGGCACTGCGACCTCCTCGCACGGTGTCACTGCCACCAACCAGTTGGTCAGTATCACAGATTATTTCCAGCAGAACCTTGCCGCGGATCTGATCAACGAGGATGGCGTTCACCCTATCCTGAAGGTCGACGCTATCAAGTATTTGTACACTTTCCGCAGCATCATCACAAAGGAACAGTGGCAGCAGGTTCTCCCTGTGCTGGTGAAGCACCTGGCGTCGTCGAACTTTGTCGTCTACACTTACGCTGCCATTGCCTTGGAGCGTGTGCTTTTCCTCACCGACAACCAAGGACAGGCAGTCATTCCACCCACTGAAATCACACCGCTTGCTAAGGATCTTCTTGAGCACATCTTCCAGCTGATCCAGAGTGATCCAGCTCCTGAAAAGGTGCAAGAGAACGAGTTCTTGATGCGTTGCGTGATGCGGGTTCTGGTTGTTATTAAGGAGGGCGTGGTGCCTTTCACTGATGTCGTGCTCCAGCGCTTCATTAACATTACCAACATCATCACCGCCAACCCAAGTAACCCCCGATTCTATTACTTCCACTTCGAGGCCATGGGAGCCTTCATCCGGTATGTTTCTATACGTTTGTTTTTCTTTTTTTTTTTTTTTTTTTTTTTTTTTCCAAGCGCCCGAACCTAACATTATGCTAGATTTGCTGCTCCTGCCAACCCCGACAAGCTCGAGCAGGCTCTTTATGCGCCCTTCGCAGCTATCCTCCAGAATGATGTGCAGGGTGAGTCAAATCAAATGAAGTCGATATCTTTGTCAGAATGATCCCTTCCTAACAAGTTTCAGAATTCATGCCCTACGTTTTCCAACTCTTCGCGGCGCTGCTTGAGGCCAACCCATCCGGCACCCTTCCCACCTACTACCAGGAGCTTATTGGCCCTATCCTGATGCCCGTTATGTGGGACTCCAAGGGAAATATTCCTGCCTTGGTCCGCCTCCTTTCCTCGATCATTCCCCGTGGCTCGCAGTTCATCATTGAACACAACCAGATCGAGCCCATCCTTGGTATCTTCCAGAAACTAGTTTCTACCAAGGCTAATGAGAGCTTTGGCTTTGATCTCCTGGAGACAGTTGTTGCTAACTTCCCACCGTACGTATCGTATCGCCTCTCCCAAGCGCCCAATCGACGGTTACCTGACTTTACTTTCTTTAGAACTGCCCTTGAGAACTATTTTGTGATGATCATGCAGATCATTCTTCAGCGTCTGCAGAACTCCAAGACAGAGAACCTGACTCTCCGCTTTATCCGTTTCTTCCACTTCATCTCGGCACAGGACAACAAGGGCTACAGCGCGGACTTTGTCATCCAGGTCACCGACAAGGTGCAAGAGGGGTATGTACCCTCAGCCTGTGTATATTACTCATATGCTAATTCATGCCTAGACTCTTCACCCCCATCTATGTCAATGTCATTCTGCCTGAAACCCAGAAGCTTGCCCGGCCCTTGGATCGCAAGACGGCTATCATCTCCTTCACCAAGACCCTTGCCAACTCGGAGGCCTTCGCCACTCGCTACAGCCAGAAGGGATGGGGCTTCACTTGCACCGCCTTGCTGAAGCTTCTCGAGCTTCCTCCGCTGCCCGCAAGCAGGGATGATGTCATTAATGATGCAGACATCGAAGACATGTCCTTCGGTGTTGGCTTTACTCCTCTGAACACCATTCGTGCCCAGCAGAAGGACCCGTGGCCCGAAACTGGTGCTGACCTCAAGGCTTGGGTGGGCTCGTACCTTAAGGAGGCCGACAAGAAGCAGAATGGTCGTATTTCACAATTCGCCCAGGAGCGTCTTGACGACCAGTCGAAGACTGTGCTGGGAAGTTACATTTCTTAGTAGTGGCTTTGCTATGACCCCTTCCCCTTTCAAGAAACTAAAAAAAAGTTCGACCTACTCGTGTTTGCTTTCTCCTTCAGAGCAATGCAATCGTTTTTCCCACTCCCCCTATTACACCATATGCATGTTGCGATGAGACACTAGATCCATGAAATAAATGTTTGTTTGATTTTCCATTAGAAGAACATCCATGAGAATGTAAATATCTCAAAAAGTAAACGCTCAAACACCAATGCAATAGACCTACTATACAAAATCCCAAAACACATAAAGCTCACATCATGAAGTCTTTCCGGACTCTTCAGAGGGTTTAGCCTCACCCCCAGTTTCCGGCTCAGTTTCCGGCTTGGTTTCCAATATAGCCTCCTTATTCTCTCCCTCCTTTACATCATCATCCCATATAATCTCAATCTCATCCTCTTCCTCCATATCAGCTTCCCCCTGCTTTCCGCCCTCTCCAAGCTCCCGATACTTTCTCCTAGTCTTCTTCACCTTACTAGCCTTCTTCTTCTTCGCCGCCGCAGCCTTAATCGCAACCCGACTCTTATCCCCCTTCTCCTGCGCCTCGACTTTATCAGCGAGCAACGAGCGCGCAATCTTCGCGTTCTGCGACTGCGAGCGCGTCGCTTGGCATTTGATCACCACCCCGCTGGGCTTGTGGATAATTTGGACGGCGGAGTTGGTTTTGTTCTAGGTTTTGTTCTTGTTAGTTTCGGTCTGCTGGTTAGGGATGGCGGTGGGATCTGGGAAGAGAGAGGGGGGAGAGGAAGGTACATGGTCTGGGAATGCGATTGGGACTAGAAATAAAACTTACGATCTTCTGTCCGCCAGGCCCGGTGCCTTTTAGGTAGGATATTGATATGTCGGCATCGTTGATCTTAAGTCGGGGGGGAGGGGTTTTGCGGGGACGATGGGGGTTTGGCTGAAGAGTCGGGTAGGGGCTGAGAGTGTTCGGGACGATGTCCGCCAGCGTAGGCGGGAGAACATTGCTTTGATGTTTGTGCTGTGGTTTGTTGAAAGTTGAAGTTATGGCCGCTGACGTTTGCGATAAGAGATAAGCTGGATGTATGCGGGCAGCCCTGGAGATATTATTTTGTTGGGTTTCTTTGAGTTGTTTGATGGTTGATTTAAATAATATTAGCTTGGTATCTTAGACCAATGGAGGTTATAGGCCATTGAATATGTGTTTAGTTAGGTGTGTTGGTACAAATAATGTTGTACCTATGTAGTTATTTAGTCTTGTAAAGGGTTCCTCACTGCCACAATGTAGATAAATGTGTTTATGAATAGTAAACTACTTATCCAAGGACCATGAGATAGATATGAAAGATATTGAGTCTCTTACATTTGGGTAAGTCATAAATCAACCTGGTTAGCAAAAGGATCATGGAGCTACTAGTGGTACTTGTACTTCTATGCTCAATATCGTTGCCTACAAAGGAGGATTGGAACCAATGACTAGAATAGACAGAATGTATTGACAGGGAATATGTAAAGGATATGTTACGCATAGAGATATGTCAACTATTTAATATCGTGGCATCCAATTTACACATATTGTACATACTCTGAAACATAAAGTACTGAGTACCTGAGACTCAGGCGTGAAGTAGCGGCAAGGAAGTGTACTAGGTACAAACTCCCGCGGCGAACACGGAAAGGGGAAGGGTTTTGCAGTTCCCCCAGTTCCGCGACTCTTATCCACCGTCTCTTCCTTACTCCCATCATCAATCCACCTCAGCCTCTGCCGATATACTCTTCCTAATTGTAACGAACATCTCCCAATCGCTTACCTCCCCGCAATATCCGAGGACCTCACGCCAACACTTAAGCCGTGTTGATTCGGAACATCATCCCTCATTTTGTCCCCTTCACAACACCACGCTCCATCGGACATACATACAGTGCCTGTGTCTGACACGACTGTCTCCGGGATCTGTTTCCCGCTTCTTGTAATTGGCAGTTCTTGCCCAAGTGGTGGAGAGGAAAAAAAAATCAACCGACACCGCAAACCGCAGGAAATCACGAACGACCGGAACATCCTACAAACCTCCGAATACCCCGCGACAATGGACTTCATTATCTGGGCTGTGTCTAGCCTCTTCCGCTGGATGCGATTGAAGGTCTACCAGTATGAGGTGACCTTCTCCCTCTATATGCTTACTCCGATCGAGAAGCTCATCTTCAGTACGTTCCGCCTGTTTCCCTGTCCAAAGTACTCTTGGTACGCCATGCTGACGTTTAATTTCCTATTCAGACACGCTGCTCCTTGGCCTCATTGCTATGATCGCTATGGGAACTTATATCTACCTCCCCGACCACCTCCGCGCCATCTATGGCCGCCTCTACTACTACTGGGCCGGCGAGCGCTTGTTCAGCTCCGGTCGGTTGTCCATCAGCTCGGTCTTTGGGGAAAATGGCATGGCCACGCAAATTGGGGACATGGTGTACGAAACGGCAAAGAACGCCGCTGCCACCTCGACCGAGCGCTTGCGTGAACTGTGAATAAAAGCCCGACATGCATAATGGTTGCATTTGCATTCTCTATTACCAAGAGTGAGGAAGCGTCTAATCACTTTGGAGTTTCGTATCCAAGGGATCCTCGTATCCACTCTTCCTGTCGGCCGGCGCTTGTTTGGAGTTGTGTTCTGGGAACTTGCGGCATCCCTATAACTTGCATTGTCGCATTGTCGCATTGCGGCGGATTACATTATTATTAATTCTTCTCTTTTCTTTTTCTTGGATCATTCGCACCACACTGTGTATAGATATGCCTCTTTCCCGGCAGAGTTCTGTGGTCGATTGATACCAGTTTGTGTTATCATTGGAACGTGATCATGATTGAAGTTCGTATTTGCACACTTTTCCAGAATGATGTACAGGAAACATAGATAGTATATCGTAGATGGCAAAAAAAAAAAAAGCAATATAACGTTGAATAATGCAACATATAAAATGAAATCCCTAGAACGCCCTCGATGCCCAGAGCAGAGTGTTGTACAAAGTAAACCCATCATCAGCACGTGTGTAACTCCCCAGCGCGATGCCAATATTGTCCTCGGTAATTATCAATCCCCAAAAGAAAGGGAACGGCAACATCAATAGGTCCGTTCGCAAGGCCATTTTGTACCCCCGAGGACTTAGACAACGAGCGCATGTCATGTTTCAGACCACGCCACTAGCTCCTCTTAACCACACCCACCAATTACAGCCTCATTGCTGACTCTGGGCTTCCTGGATCTGTGCCTGTGCCTGTGCCTGTGCTTGCGCTTGTGCCTCCGCCGCCTGTCTCTGCTCCCGCTTCATGGCATCCACCATGCGCATACGTGCCAATTCCTGGTCAATCTCCTCCTTATCCAGCGGGATCTTGTGCGATTGCTCGGCAGTTGGCCAGAAGCCCTTTGTGGCGAAGCGGTTGTCGAGGTTCGTACCGAAATAGTACATCCAGCCGATGGGAAAGAGGACGTACATCCCGAACTACATGGACTTTCGTTAGTCCTAAGAATAGGCGATGGAAGGCAGGAGATGGCATTGCCTGCTCAAGAGACTTGATTGTCAGCTACGCACCTTGAGGACTTCGAGGTTGCCTCCCTGCAACTTGCGGAACATTTGCGACATTGTATGGGGTTTGATATGTTGCTTTTTTTTTCGGGGGGTGTCTTGTCTTCAGGTATTGCTAAGAGTGTGGGTTTGAGATTGGGTGTTATTTTTGAAATGTGCTCAATTGATAATACCGCCTGATTCCAGCAGACAGAGAGCAGCGATAATTTGTAGGTTGATCTTCAATCTCCAATCTTCAATCGCCGAGTGGTGCCATGGCCGGTGGGACCAGTCACGGGCTTTGATTACTCGACTTTGAGCAAACAAGACAAACAGGGGTTGTTTTGCTGCCTCAGGCGTCAACCTGTAGCCGTGCCAAGCGCCCAACAACCGGAAGGTTGTTGGTGCCACCAGATACCAGATTTCAAATTATGTATCTTTTGTATGACTTGTCAATACAAAAGGTACTTAGGTACCCCGTAGATATAACATGCTAGATATAACATGCATTCTTAGCACTCGAACTAGCTAAAGTAATAGAAAGTATACGAATACATATTAAAAGTCTAGCTTAATTAGTTTAATAGTAGTATAAATTATCAGTATCTAATATAAAAGAAGAAGAAGAATTTCAAAATGACACTATATAAAGGCTATAGTTATAGGGGAAATAACCAGGTACTTTCTTTTGTTTTGGTATAACTAGTTAATATTCCTTATCAAAGTTTGGTTAAATAATATAGACTTCCTTCCTTTACACTATATATATTTTCTTATATTTGCCCTAACTAGTTCTAGGGTCGAGAAAAAGTGTGTTATGCTAACGGGGTACCTAAGTACCTTTTGTATAGGTAAGTCATACAAAAGATACATAATTTGCAAATCTGGTATCTGGTGAAAATCTGGAAGGTTGTTGGGCGCTTGGCACGGCGAGGTTCACCGCGGGCCTCGGCTCCCCGCAGACTTAACTTGTAGCCGGATATCCACAAAGAAATAGCTGATAAAACCATTACAATCCAGTTCAATTCATGTTCTATTAGTTAGTTTCCTCCTACAATATACACAGTAACAATGTCCAACGAAAATCTTATTACCGTTACCTATCAGGATCGTGTAGCGATCGTGACACTCAACCGACCCGACAAGCTAAACGCCCTTAATGCCGATCTATACTACCTCCTAGCCGAGCGTTTACGCGAAATTGACTCTCGAGAGGATATATCCATTACAGTCCTGACCGGAACGGGTCGATTCTTCTCTGCGTATGCCATCCACAGACATCCCAACCCTAGATATCCCAATACTCATATGCCTTCTCCACAGCGGCGCAGACGTAACAAGCATACGTCCCGGCAGCGAGGGTGTTAGCCCAAACGTCCGCCGCGAGCTCGTCCGGGGCTTCGTAGCCAACAATCTGGATGCCACGCGCACCTTCTACACCCACTCCAAGATCCTCGTCGTCGCCCTGAACGGCCCCGCTGTCGGTCTTTCAGCCGCACTAGTCGCCCACGCTGACTTCATCTACGCCGCCCCGCACACATTCCTCCTTACCCCGTTCTCCTCGCTAGGTCTCGTTGCTGAAGGCGGTGCTAGTCGCGCCTTCGTCGAGCGCCTCGGCATCGCCAAGGCGAATGAGGCGCTCATCATGAGCAAACGGATTACCTGTGACGAGCTTGTTTCGACTGGATTTGTGAACAAGGTTATTACGCCGGAGTCTGGGAAGAAAGATGACTCTGATGGGTTCTTGAAGAAGGTGCTTGAGGAGGTTGATGATCGTCTTGGTATGCACTTGAACCAGACTAGTCTGTTGAAGATTAAGGAGCTGGTAAGACGGCCCGAGAGAGAGGTTCTGGACCGCCAGAATGGCATTGAGGCATTTATGGGCCTTGAGCGCTTTATGATGGGAATCCCACAGGAAGAGTTCCGGAAGTTGGCGTCTGGGGAGAAGAGACATAAGCTTTAGATAGCTATCAGAACACGGCTGCCTGTTCTATGGCCTCACTATAGTACTTACTTTCTCCATGTCCTTTTTGCGGTATAACCATTTATTAGAATTGAGTGTCTCTTTATGCATTCTTTTGTTCGTCAATCAATCTATCATCATTCACATCACACCATACAGTACCTAGGTTACCATCGGCTAACATATCCACTCTCTACCTTCCATGGCTATATAGGTACTCATCCGTGGTAAAGCAAGGTCATTAAAATCATAAGGTCAAGATGAGATAGGTCATAAAAGCGTAGCCTTAAAAGCTTGCCGGACGTCTTGTAAAATTCCAACCTTATCTACTTTCCCTCCCGCTATTTCTCTCTCCCACATCATCGCTATCGCTATGGCTAGAACTCACCCGTTAAGTCCTAGCGAGACATCCGTATATAGCTATGTATAGACCTATATATAGCCCTAGGGGGTACCCAGCTATATGCGAAAAAAAAAAAGCGTCTCTCAACTGGAGGTGACGTACTACCTCAAAGTGCTGGATGATGATCACGGCCGGTCTCAGCCAGGAACTGCTCATATTTTCCCTTGCACTTGCGACGCCATGTCTTTCCCCAAATAATCATAGGAATACCCATCAACACAGACAGTACAACCAACATGCCATAGCAAGTAAAGGCCCATCCGTAGTTAGTCGCCTCAATAAAATACTGAACGGAGAAGGAGATGGCGAAATTTATCAGTGAAGAACATATAGCAAGCACCACGACAAGTTCACCAGAGATCTAAAGTGTTAAAATATAATTAGCGAAAGGAAACAGGCCACTAATTAGATATACCTATACCAACTTACCCCATCGAAGCATTCCATTGCATATGTCGTTGCCAGACTCGTCATCGACACCTGCTGGGCAATGAGGCAGCACAGAGCTACAGCAACAGCGATCCAATGTTCACCATTTGTAGCAGCCCATCCGTACGTGAAGTACCCCACAGCACCAAATATGAAGGGAAAGATATAGGCCCAGATGCGCATTTCGGGCTCTTTGTACCCCTTGTTTCGGCGAGAGAGCACTAGGACAAGCCAATCGGAAAGAGAGCCAACGCCCATTCTTCCCAGCCAATATAGTTAGTAAGATTTCAAGTTCAAAATCGGGGACAATAGGTGAAGTCCAAACCCAAGGAAGTTGCCAATAAGAGCAGACAGAAATAGCAGCCCGGTAGACCCCGCGCTCCAGTTATATGGAGCCTCAGTCATGATCTCGGAGATGGTGTTAAAAGACACAATACCAGCTGTGCATCCAAATGCAAATTGGATCCCACCGAGCACGATATTAGGGAATGCAAAAAGGTAAAATGGCCGTCGGAAATATTGAAGCCATGTAGTTTGGTCGTCTGGGAAGTAATGAACCAGTGTGACCTTTTGCCGGAATGTCCGTGGGGGTAATTGTTCTTCTGAAAGATTGCTTCCAGTAGTAGATACCGGTGACCCAACCCTTTGTGGATGCTTCTCTGACTTATCTATGCCATTGATAGGTGCATTCCTAGGGGCTAAGCCGAGAGTATTGTTGAATCGATATCGGGGAAACATAGTATCATCAAAGGTGAAGATAAAGAGCAGTATCAAAACACCCTATAACTTCATTAGCTCGGTGAATAAACCAGTCAGTCAAGTAGAATAGCATACGCATGCAATGGCTACAATGGGCTGGCTCCAACGCCACCCAATACCATCGGCAATATATCCACCCAAGATCAAACCTAGGATCGATCCTAGCTGTTGGAAAAATATGTATATCGAGACCATTCGACCACGCTCGTGGGCGAAAAACATGTCAAAAATCTAAGTCTATATTAGTGACGTGTTAGGCAGAATATATAGGGTGATATATACTCACAGTAAGTTGGATTAATGCCTGATATGCCGCGGTGCCAACTCCCTGAACTACAAGCATAATATAGTACTGAGCCGTCCCGTGATAGAATTTACCCCAAACCGAGCCACCAAGTAGAATCAGCAAGCTCAGAATGTAGACAATTTTGCGGCCGAATTTCATGGCGGACGGGATCCAGATTATGTTGAAAAATCCAAGCAGCAGGTAGTTCAGAGCAGATGCACCGTTCATGTTGATGAGTGTGACTCCTGTGTCGGATGATATCATTGTCCAACTTGCGCCATTATTATTCTCACCAAAGGAGAAGACACAGGCATAGAAGGAGATGAGGAACAACGACCAGAACTTTTTCACGCGTGTCCAGTTCTATTTCTTATGGTTAGGATATGCTCGCTGACATTGTGGGCCAAATTTATTTTTACCAAAGGGTCTGCGGGTGATCTGGAGGGTTGAGGAATCAGAAGAATTTCCTGCCGTCCAGCGTGAGCAGCATCTTGTAGATTGTGAGATGCTAGGATTTCACTGTTAGCAATACTATCTTCGCCAGAGAGGTATTCACTGAAACATACTGTCAACCAAGTAAACCGTGCCGGGCACGTCGGTCTCTATATCATCTGAGTGAGCCATATTGGTATATCACACAGCACGAGTCTATATGGGAAAGTGGGGAGCTTTGATACCCTCTTATATTCAAATTCTCAAGTTCATAGATCATCCTGGGGTCGGCAATAGCCGACCCTTATTGACAATCCACGTGTCCAGATAAGCCATCTGTTGAGGGGAATAAAATCATGGAAGCTGCAGGCGATCGCATTGATAAAATTGAAAGGAATAAAAGGAAACATTCACGTAGATCATCTCCCCCATTGACTTGGTTTCGATAAGACCAAGGTTGTGTACGGGCGACTAGAGGGATCATCGTCACATAACTCTCTCATTGGCTAGTGCCTTACACCTTCTTGAAGTAACATACACTGACATCTTACTAGATCTTCTTTTTTGGGTGTTCTTCTTAGGGTCTTTCTAGTTGTCTTTCTAGTTGCCTTTCTAGTTGTCTCTTTGTATGTCTTTTTCATATATAAAGGCGGCAAAATACATAAACCATGTAGATCACGTTTCTATATATAGGTATCACAAGAGATTTGTATTGAGGCATTATAAGGCATTGTCTGGGCTCAATATTAACTACTACTAACTACATAACAAGTGACTCTCAGGCAATATAAACCAATGAGAGAGTTATGTGACAGTAATCCCTATAGTCGCCCGTAGTTGTGTGGAGAATCAATATATCCCCCGTGTGCGGAGAAGCTTACCCCAACCTCGGAAGTGAAAAGTCGTGGGAAGGTCCAGCCGTCGGAACATACCCGCTAAGGCTAAGCTGATGAGTTAGCTTGATATGGAAATAAGTGATGTCTCAAAACTGGTGTGTACCACATGACTTTGCATAATAGCACATAAGTCCCCCTCCCTCTTCACTATAGTTTTGAACGGTACTCTACGGCGGACTCTCCAAACAATAACTATGGCAACACAGAAACTCACCGACTCTTCAATTCTCATTGTCGGCGCCGGGACTTGGGGATGTTCAACTGCCCTTCACCTGGCCCGCCGAGGATACAAAAATGTCAAAGTGCTGGATCCACACCCGGTGCCCTCGCCCATTGCTGCGGGGAACGACATCAACAAAATCATGGAGCACAAGGAACCAAGACGTAAGTATGCATACCGTCGTCCTGCTACCAGGAATGAGAGCAATTGTTAACTAATATTTATCAGCCCCGAATCCTGATTCCCGAAGCATCGCCTCTGCAACCTTCACCAGGGCTGCATTGAAAGGCTGGAAGACGGATCCAGTTTTCCAACCATATTTCCACGAAACGGGGTTCATTGTCTCGGGCCATACACCTGCTCTCATAGAACACATCAAAAAGGAAGAGATCGATCAATCCGAAGGTGACTGGGTGGCCTTGGACTCGGCCGAGGATTTCCGCCAAACAATGCCGCCGGGTGTATTGACAGGAGATTTCCCCAACTGGAAAGGCTGGATCAGCCGATCTGGAGCAGGATGGATCCACGCCCGTAAGGCCATGGTCTCTGCATACACCGAGGCGCAACGTCTAGGTGTAAAATTTGTGACAGGCTCGCCCCGAGGAAACGTTGAAAGCTTGGTTTACAAAGATGGGGACGTGGTTGGGGCCCAAACTGCAGATGGTGTGGGTCATTATGCAGAGCGTACAATTCTCGCGGCGGGAGCTGGTAGCGATCGACTGCTAGATTTCAAAAACCAGCTGCGCCCAACTGCTTGGACTTTGTGCCACATCCCTATGACGCCCGATGAGGCTACGAAGTATCGCAATCTGCCTGTTCTTTTCAATATCGCAAAGGGCTTCTTCATGGAGCCGGATGAAGAGAACAATGAGCTTAAGATCTGCGATGAGCATCCGGGGTACTGCAACTTTGTGTCGGATCCCGATCACCAAGGCGAAAAGAGAAGTATTCCTTTCGCCAAGCAACAGATTCCAATTGAAGCAGAGGCGCGGGCTAGAGATTTTCTTCGTGACACCATGCCACACCTTGCTAATCGGCCTTTCTCTTTCGCCCGTATCTGTTGGGATGCCGATACGGTGGATCGTGCGTTTTTGATAGATCGACACCCTGAGTATCGATCTCTCGTGGTGGCCGTCGGCGGCTCGGGAAATGGGGCTATGCAGATGCCCAGTATTGGGGAATTTATCTCAGACGTGTTGGAAGGAAAATTAATAAAGGAATTGAAGGGTCTTGTCCGGTGGCGACCAGAAATTGCAGTCGATCGAGACTGGAAGTCTACACAGAACCGCTTTGGAGGACCTGGTATACTTATGGACTTCCAAGATGTGAAGGCTCATGAATGGACTCAAATTGGAGAAGGCAGCAGCAAAGAAAGTAGACTATAGAAACAGCATATCGAGTTCATTAACAAAACCAACCACTTTTATTCGCCCATAAAGGCATAAGCCCCATATCCTTCTTAGCAACATCTGTTTTAGGTCAAGTATAAAAATCAAATGTATTCTTAAACTGTGTAGTGTCCGTGGGAAAAGTGATATAAGGATGCGAAATGATGTATCTTATGGACTTTTCTTT